AATGTAATTTTAGCCTAATTTGAATGCAAATGAATGAAATCTATCCATGAAAATGCATTTCACGCCACTTATAACAATACAATTTTGCAAAAGGGATATAAACCAGTCGGATTGGTGAATTTTCTCAACTATCGCAAATCCATCATTTCGGTTCAAACAGCATAATAATACACCAATAGGAAAATCATGTAAAAAAAAATTTCTTTTCTCAATCTTATCGCTTCTTTTGTTGTCGATCTAACATTTATTTAAGTTTATTACAGCAATATTACTGCAAGATTCTGGATATATTTGAGTGTTAATTATTGCTGTAAAACTCAGAGTTAATTTTGTAATGACCTTTGCATAGATCCATCCATCTTAGTAGTAAAGGCTTAGGCTTAATTCTCTCAAAATCATGAATCATTCCATGCTACGGTCATTTGAAGAGAGAGATCCGGGAAGAAGAGAAAGGATTATTATCCTCTTACCCATCCAAACTCTTTCCCATCTCCATTATCTTTCATATCATTTTATCCGCCCATCATATTTGTTCATTTTTATTCCTCCATTAGATATAAAATTCATCAAAATTTTATTACCGAAAAAAATTTTAATTTAAATATGAAAATTAATTCTAAGCAATTATAAAACATTTAAGGATTCTGAGATACTACGGGCTATTTGGTCAGTTGATGGCGACTAAATTGAATGAAATATGTAAAAGTTTAAACAGTTATGAAATTATGTAAATGGAAATATTCGTTGCACATTTCTGCAAATGCTACTTAATTTAATCTATCTTAAAATGTTTCAAAGAAAGTTTAATATAATATAAGGAAGAATTCACATTTATGAATTTATTTCTTATCAGTTTTTCACTTCTATCTTTCATTAACATGCAAAACTTTTTGTAATTTTAATTTTAATTAATTACTTAATACACTTGTCTAGTAATAGAAGAAAAGTAAGATAGGGTGAAATTCCGTTTCCCTTTTTTTCACTTTGACACGCAAAGAAAAATTTTTTGCGACAACAAAAGTGCTGTATGATAGTAAAATCAATCGATGGGATCAAGACAGTTCTCGTATTTGTCCCGGTAGATCTTGTAAATTATTCATGTTAGATATGTGGTCATTCATTGGTCTATAAGATAGGTTTACGAAGATATTATCTATTTTGTCACATTTTCATCTATTTATTAATTTCTCCACTAGCAGTTCAATTGGTTATGGGTGTAAAATAACCGAGTAATTATTTTGAAAATTGAAATAACTCCAGGTTATTCATTGATTGGCGCTAACAAAAATTGAATTAATCATATGTTTCAATTTTGTGAAGCGCTGTTGTACGATTATGTATGTTATGCTAATAGTTATATTTATTTGTTTTATTTGTATTTATTTTTAATGCTTCTAAAATTCAATTTTATCTCAAAATTTTATTACTAAATTTCTAAACATTTATTATAGTGATATGTATTGCAATGTTATGTGTGAACTACTTTTGTTAAAGCAATAAGTTCACGTACGTTTTCATTTATTCGTACGTCAGTTTGTTCCATACAGTAATAATGCAAATAGCGAACAATAACAGTAAAATGATGATTGTTAATCATAAAAATAGTTCCATTTCTTTTCTTCACTGATTAAAATAAAAACGAAGGCAAACTTTACAATGTTTGCATTATCGAATTCTTTACTTTCACAAATGTTTGCTGACAATCATACTTGAGGGCATCTATGTTGTTTGTACATGAGGTACCACTCTTTATTTTACTAAAATCACCCTTTTTTTGTTGGAATTTAATTAGTTTTTAGAACTTTTCAAAGCTTAATAAATAGACGTACGTTTATATAAAGAATTAGCTGAAGAAGATAATTTTAAAAGATACTGCACGCATCGAGATCTTAGATAAGTTATTGTGAATAAATTTTAAACAGTTCAATTTGTATACCAGTTGTTGTTATAAATTAAGTATATGAGAATGATAATTTGACGTACGTATACAGAAATTTGATACCTAATCAAAGAATATAAAATTTTCACTCGTTGTTTATGAAATCAGCAAATGCTGTTATATTTGTATAATTGGATTGAACTTTATCCTTATTTATATTACACAGCTAACTATGTGATTCAAATTTAACGGCATTAAATAATCTAACTATACAACATTTGTATTTGCTTTATGAATCAAGCAAAATTTTGACCACGTGACATCTAATATCAACACTTCCATATCATTTTATTTACAAAATTGAAATTTTACTTAGAATAACTTCTATTACAAATATTTAATATCAATCATGTGATCAGAATCTGTATGATGGTTATTAATATTGTACACATATAGTTGTCAACCTTTAGTTATAAGTTGAATAATCAATATTTATTTTCTCTTTGTTTCAAGATTAATTTACTTATGCTTACTAAAATGTATAATACATGAAGTAATAACACTGTGCTACTATAATTACTGCTTTCTTTTAGAATTTTTTTTTAAAATATAAATCCATACACTTTCATGAACTTCATCTTGTTATAAAGTTCAGATTTTGAACTTAACATTATGCAAATAACATTATTTCTTCATTTCAATTAAGTGACACTTTATTTGAATGCAATATTGATGAAACATTTCACGCTGGAAGGGAAAATGTGTGAAGCAAAAAAGTTCATTTATTCTTGCACTGATTTCACACGATCGAGCATACTGATAAGCCTCCGCTTAATCATTTCAAAAACTAACTCTTCATTTACAACTTTTAATTTCACCAAACATTGACTCATTCTTTCTATTATTTCATTTTTCACTTTGCACATCAATAAAAAAGCACTTTTGCTAGAGAAACTCAATAGGGGTTTCTTTTATTTTGACGATTTATAAAAAATTGCTAGATCTAAATCTGAGAAATTAAAATTTCTCATCCAAATTTAACAATACACGTTCATGAGATGTATTCATTCAATATTTTTTTTAAAGATTTCAACAGTGAAAGCAAATCAAATGTGATTTAAATATTTCAGTAGGAATTGTTTTTATTCTGGTATGGAAAAAACATACCTTAATGAAGTCATTTTGCAGAAAACTATGGATGGTTTTGAGACGAAAGGTAACGTTGTGAATGATTTGGTACTTCTTTCGTCTGTCACGCACGATGACATCGTCAATACTTTGCGTGATCGGTTCTCTCAAATTTCAATATTGAAATATAATTTTATGATTTTAATAGATAAAATTGGATTTATGATAATAGATAAAACCAAATAGTCATTGAATTCAACATTTAAATATATTTCTTCATCAATTTTCAAACAATTTAATATTTTAATAAAGAAATGTTATTAAAATTATTCTCAATTTATTTTTTCCATTTCAGATTCAAAAAAGGTCAAATTTATACTTACATTGGTGAGGTATTGTTAGCTGTAAATCCTTATCGATATTTACCCATCTATGGAACTGATATGATACGTAAGTATAAAGGACATGAAATTTACGAACGTTCACCACATGTATTTGCCATCGCTGACGTAACGTACCGATCGATGAAATGGCATGAGCATGACGTTTGCATTGTCATTTCAGGTGTGAATTTCAATGGATTTAATGTTTTTTAAACTTATATAATAGTAAGATTAAATTTTGTAAGTTTTTCAAACTATCTTTGAACTTTTTATTAATCATAATTCTCTTTGGAAAAAAAATTAAATTAAAGTCTATTTATCCTTAAAGTTCTATTAAAAAACATAACAAAGCGCATCAATCCTAAATGCGCCAATACTTTTCTTGCAATTTTATCACCCAATTATTCATTATCTGTCAGGTGAATCCGGTGCTGGCAAAACAGAAACAAGCAAAATAATCATGCGTTATTTAGCTGCCATTACCAATGCAGAAAAGCAACATGAAATTGAGAAGTCAGCTTTCTTTTTTTATTTTATATTTTTCAAATTTTTTTACTTTTATACTTTTATTACTATCTTCTTACGAATCTATCTTTGCAGGGTCAAAAATATCTTCCTCCGGTCAACAGCTCTTCTCGAATCGTTAGGATGTGCAATGACCAATAGAAATGATAATTCAAGCCGTTTCGGCAAATACATGCATATAAACTTCAATTTTCAAGGCGATCCATTTGGTGGTCATATCAGCAGTTATCTGCTAGAAAAGGTCATTATGTATAATGTATTCATTACTATTGTTCGCTTTTTCACGATAAATATGACCATTCTTTTCATATCTTTAATCTAAAATAGCATTGAAAGTTATTTTAGCATCTGCAACAATGAGTAACGAAATATTTGACAAAATAATCTTTACAAAAAAAGAAGGTCAATTAAAGTTCAATAAAATAATTTCAATGTTCCCATCATGTCAAAAATTTTATTACGGTTTATAATTTTTAACATTACAGTTGATTATTCCAGCTCTAATTATTATCCTTTATCATTTTATAGTCACGTGTCGTTCGCCAGCAAAGCGGTGAACGTAATTTTCACATTTTTTATCAACTTTTGGCCGGATTAGACAATGATCACTTGCATACGTTACATTTACAACGTGATCCTCTGAAGTACTTTTATCTAAGTCAAGGTCAAACAATTGTGGTAAGTTTGTCAATTAAATTTAGTAAAAGTTACGTTTATATTCGACAGAAAAAAATCTACCGTCTGAGCAGAAGAATGATTGGGAAGGATAATCGATAGGAAATCCATTTTGACATTTCATTGTTTTCTAAATTGATTTATTTTATAGCAAAGCAATCAAATGTTTCTTTATTATTTCATTTTTTTTTCCTTCAAGGCAAACACAATCGATGATATCAGTTGTTTTAATGAGGCATTGCAAGCAATGAGAGCAATTGAGACATTTGGGCCAAATTCTGAACAACAGGTATTCTTCCAATTTTCATTTTCATTAGCATTGCGATAAAAATTTCGAAAAAGAATAGAATGATTTTTTCTTCTTTTTAACAGAGATGAAATTGTTCTTAGGAATATAATTTAAGATATGGAACATTTTGGCAAGCATTTTATTGTTGGGTAATCTTAATTTTACTGGAAATGAAACAAATTTCGATGAAAGTTTCGTTAAAGATCATCATGAACTTGAAATTTGTGCCGATATATTACAAGTAGCAAGTGAAGAGCTTGAGAGAGCATTATGCACACAGGTAAACCTTGTCTTTAAGTTTTTTTTTTGTTTCTTGAACTACGTAAGATAGATAACTTGATGGATATTTTTATGAGTACTGTCAAATTTCCAACAAGACTGATTCCATAAATTTATTTGTTGATTCAGGCGTGTGCAATTTGTACACTTGCAATCACGTCATCTGATTTACACTTCTCCTTATTTATTTAATATCCAATTTCAAATTTCAACTAAATTTTTCTGTGTAGGAAACTATTTTCACGTTAATATATTAACATTTTGATTTCATACAGCAATTAAATTGAGTGAATTTACTCAATAAATAAATAGCTGAGCTCATTATTACTGTTTAGGTGGTTGCAGCTAAAGGAGATGTCGTCGCAAAGTGCCATGATGTTAGCGCAGCTGAGTATACAAGAGATGCGCTTGCTAAAGTTTGCATTTATTAAATTTTAAATTTCAAACTTTTTATAAAGCATTCTTTTATGGAAGTTAACATTTAAGTATCATTAATAGTCCATCAAGAAAAGAAAGGAAAATAAGTTTGTAATGGAGGTTGATATTTACATCGTTATTGATAGTTCCTTTTCCGCAATACAATAATCAATAAATAGGAGTCATTTTTCTTAATTAAAATTTCATTATTTGTTATTTTTTTTGGGAAATTAATTGCTTTATTAAATGATATATTTCATTTGACTATTTATTATTCCTTAAAATTATGATTTTAATTTTCATTAGCACTTTAAAATATTCAATGATTTTATTTGTTAAGGCAATTTATGAGAGATTATTTACTTGGGTTATCGGAAAAGTTAATCAAGCAATCAACGTTGAAAGAAATGATTATGCAAGAAAAAATGCTGTTATTGGAGTGCTTGACATTTATGGTTTTGAAATATTTACTATAAATAGGTAAGGTATACGTAATTCACGTAGTTTTTTTGTTTAAAAAAAGAAACTTACTGTTTTATCTTAGGATTGTTTTTTTGCAAGCGGAATGTAAATTGTAAGACTAGTTTAAATTTATAGTTTCGAACAGTTTTGCATCAATTACTGCAACGAAAAATTACAACAACTTTTCATTGAATTGGTGCTAAATCAAGAACAGGAAGAGTATAAACGTGAAGGAATTGAATGGCAACAAGTAAATTTCGAAGTTTAAAACAAAGTTTAAATAAGTTCCTGAATTTATAATCGATGCAATCTGTTTATTTCTTATGAAAAAACTATTGTGACAAACAGCTGCTGCAAATGAACGCATGATATAATATTTGATCTTTCGGAGAGTTTATTTTCTCGTAATAATGGAAATATTCGCTCTGATTGAATTAAAATTTTTAAGCATTATTTTGCTATTATTTTATTTTGACTTATAAATGAAGGATTTTTTTATAAATTGGGACAATTTTCATAGTAATTTAGATTCAATTTTTTAACAACAAAGAAATTTGTGATTTGGTTGAAATACCTCGTACAGGAATTTTGGCCTTACTTGATGAGGCGTGTTATACGATTGGCCCGATCAGTGATACGGTTTGTTAAGTAGATCCTTTTAACATTCTACTAAGCTTCAATATGTGTATCCTAAACATTAAGGCTTTTTCAATTAAAGCTTTTGCCGGAAAAATGAAACATAGAAAATAGGTATTAATCAAAATAAAATATTTTATTGCATTTATATTAGATAGATGTTTTGTTATTCATTAAAAGCACTGGCTCAGTTATTAATTGTTTAATATTCATTATCATTTCTCTTCCACAATGCACACTTATTATTACTGATTTTTATTGACAGAGAGAGAAAGAGGGAAGTAAAGAAGAGAGGGGGAGAGAAAAAGGAGGAAAATACTTTGAAATTCATCTTTAATTTTCAGATTTTTTTGGCTGAAATGGACAAAATATTAAATAAGAATAAGTATTACACGAGCCGTCGGTTAAGTCCAACTGATAAAACGATGGCCTTTGAAAGAGATTTCAGAATTACACACTATGCTGGTGACGTAACATATAGTGTTGTTGGTTTCATTGATAAAAATCGTGATACACTTTATCAAGATCTTAAAAGGCTACTCTACAACAGGCAAGGAGGAATAGATTTCTTGACATTTTTTGTTTAAATTAACTTAAAATCTTGTTAAAATTAAAGT